AGGAATGGTGAAAGTATGGTCAAAAGATGGCGAGAGATGGGAAAAGATGATAAAGGAATTACTGAGTAGACACGGTCAAATAATTGGCAATGCCGTCTTGTCCCGGAACGCGTGCGTGCCATGGCAATCTGTGCGGGCAGGGATTGGGAACGGATATATATATATAAGGCATCCCGCTCCTGTAAAAGATAACTCCTTAAGTCATTTTTCAATTGAAAAGATTAATCGCTGTCACTTCTCCCAACAAGTCCCCCTGATCGATTGTTGTTGCCCCGGGCCATCAACATTTTCTGGTGCTCGGGTAGGCCCGGGACTAATCCTTATGAGGGAGCTGTCCAGGGGTTTCCACTTGAAGCCCGCCTGGGGACTCCGAATGCGCACCGAACGAATATTTTTGCCCTCGGGTTTCGACCTATGGGCGTAGGACGTAAGGCAACGAGATCAACACATGAGTGTACTGGCATTTGAATATACTAATACCTGAGTCACTACAAAAATGAGCCTCGTCGCTCGCGATTGATAATCATGTGGATCAATGGTCTATGCTTTTCGTATATGAATGGTCAATGATATATATAATATAACAATCACTAGCTACTCCAGCGTGTCCGGCACAACCGGCATTCCACCCCAACAACAAAACCTATTTCCAATTCAACCCTACCAAAATGAGGTTGTTGGGATGTCGACCAAATTGACCAGAGTGCAAAAACGGTGGACATACTGATCGCATCTCACGCAACAGACCCTGGTCTCCTTTCAGGTTGATAGACGATGTAGGTTACGCATCTGCTAAGGAACAAATTGGGCAACCTAGATGAGCTTTTTTCTCGATTGTTCTTTGCACCACTCCATCAAGGACAGCAGCTGGTGAAAGTATACAAAATTCTACCCCCCAGATTCAGTCATGCTTCTTGCCATGGTCATGACTGTATGGGCATTGTCTACCGCCATGGTGAAGATACGAATGACCAAAGCGTTGGAAGAATACCGGGTCTTTTGAATTGACAGACCATAGATACGGGGATCTACCAAAGGGATTCGGAGGCGTGGGACGGT